TGTAATGAAAAAACTACAATAAAAATCATTTTTCCATTAATTATAGTATTTCTATATCCTTTATATCCTACATTTAAAACTTACTACAAATCTCCTCTTATCATTATGTTTATATCGATAATATAAAGTGATACATTTATTGTTGAAGACAGCATCTATTTGCATTGAAGATAATGATATTTCATTCTTTTCCAAGTTCTTGCCAGTCAAATACTTTTGTAAGTTTGGATTGGATTTTCGATGATTTGGCTTTACACGTTACATTTAAATGAGTGGTATCTATATATTCGTTCAGAGCATCAACATTAGCCAAGTCATATTTTTATTTGTTGCTTTGGGCAAAAAATTTATTTATTTAAAAAATTACATATACAAAGGGAAATTGATCACGGGCTTAATAAATTTAATAAAGATCCTTTGCAAAGAAGAACTATCATAATCAAAAGCTATTTACGAATTTTGATTGTTAAAAAAATCAACTAAACTTTTTTTTAAAAAAATAAGATCTTTTTGTCCCCGTGTTTATTTATTTATCTAGGTTAAAGGTCAATTAGATCAATTGGGGGTTTTTTTTTCAAGTCTATCGCTATAGAAGGGTAAACTTCATGTAAACATCAAAAGTTATTTACAAATTTCGATTGTTAAGAAAATTAACTAAGCCAATTAAAAAAAAATCCTTTGCAAAGATTAATCGATGATTTTATTTGTTTTCTCCGAAAGGGAATCAAAAGTTGTATATATTGTTTGTTTATTTATCATTGAATTGAAATTAGCCTGATAGCAACAAAATAAAATGTAATAAGTGTTTTTGAATCCCGGTCTCGTGACCCGAAACTATATTAACACTGTCACGTTATGTGACAAGTCTTTATCTGAGGTAAAGTCCATAAGTTTTTGGTCATTTCAGACGGACTGAAACATCAGAGCAAGGTGAATACCTAATGGTTGACGCCACGCAAAAAACATCTAGAGAGAAATACGATTTCCTTTCAGTCAAGTATCTGCTTCGCTCAACCCTGACGTTTCGAACAAAAATTGATAATTTTTCGGTTCCCAAATAAGATATAAATGGGAATTCACATGATTTGGTGATATAAAATAACCACAACCATTTATATTTTTTGGAAAATGAAAATTTTTTTGTTTCAAATCAATTTGCAAATCATTTCAAACCAGCACAGCAAAAAAGAAAAAACGACCTATCACCTTTTGACTTTGATTTCACCCTTTCCTAACAATTCAGTTTACTAAAGCTGAATAACAAAATGTTTAAAAGATTCGTGACTCGTTACCGTAACTGCACTGGATTTACCGTTTCAAGTCATAACGAGTCTTCTTTACAACAGATTATTTCCAAATTGCTAGATATTACACATATAAAATCTAAAGTACGAAGGAACTGCTACACGACAACCTTACTTTCTTTCAAGAAAATAATGTAACCATTATTATTATTCTCCCACATTCATTAAAAACACAAAGTCGAATTTTATATTTTATATTTTATAATGTCACATGCTAAACTATTATCATCGTTATCACCAGAAAGAAAGAATTTTGTACTTAAAATTAATAGTGAAATACGTAATAATGCTAATGCTAATTATGATAGAGAAAGTGGCAAAGATTATTTTTTTTCATTAGTCAAAAAAACAAGGAGCTTTCTGAAAATGAAAAAGAATTTTGTAAGGAAAAGTTTATTTATGAGTTTGAATTAAAAATTGCAAGAGATGAATGGGGCAAACCAAAAGAATGTAACGAGTGTAAATTGACAAGATACTCTAATAGGTTCTGTGAAGGTTGTATTAATTTAAAATTACAGAGTCTTTTCACCACTTGGACATCTGGAAATAACATAATTGATGATTTTATTCAACAATGTCAAATGAAATCATCTCTGCCAAACCATATTTTAGAATGGATACCTCTTGAGGAATTTGAAGATATAACAAAGTTGACAGAAGGTGGATTTAGTTCAATTTATACTGCTACATGGATAAGGGGAAGTATTGATGATTACAATGAAAATAAAAAGGAATTTAGTTATTTTGGAAAGGAAAATGTAGTATTAAAAAGTTTAAACAATTCAAGTAATCCAGGAAAAGCCTTTTTTGATGAGGTTGGTAGTTGTCATTTAAAACAAAATAAATAATACTGTATTATATAATACTAATTGATTTTATATTTCTTTTCAGGCAATGAATTATTGTAAAATTAAATCAGGTTGATTGTTCATTGCTATGGTATAACTAAATTCCTAGATAATGGAAACTATGCAATAGTTTTAAATTATCATTCAGAAGGAAATTTAAGGTATTATTTACAAAAAAAGTTAACATTAAAAGACAGAATTACAATATTTTATTATTTATGTGCTGCATTAGATGATATACATCGGAAAGATTTAATCCATTCTGATTTACATAGTGGTAATATGCTTGTACAAGGAGGTGATTGTTATATTACAGATTTAGGATTATGTGGACCAGTTGGTGATGAATCATCAAATAAAGTCTATGGAATTGTATCATATGTTGCACCCGAGCTACTTAGGGGTAATAACACAAAGAACACAAAAGAAACTGATATCTATAGTATTGGAATGTTAATGTGGGAAGTATTTGCAGGACATCCACCATTTGATGATAGAGCTCACAATCATTGTTTAATTTTTGATATATGTGAAGGTTTACGGCCACCAATACTACCTGGTATGCCTGACGATTATCTACAAATGATGCAGAGGTGTTGGGATGTGAATCCATCAAAAAGACCAACTAGTAGAGAGCTTTGGAATTTTGCCAAGAATAAATTTGAAGAAATTATTAAAAATGAAAATAATGAAATTCTTAAAAATAGTTTAATAAAAAGATTATTCAAATTTTCTAAAATCAAAAACCATAAAATTGAATTTAATGATGATGGTGGCAGCAGCAGTAGCAATGGTGGTAATTCACAACAAGCACACAAATCACATCCACATGCATATCATACAAGTAGAATATTAGATGAAGAGATTGCTAAATCTAAAAGCTTGAAAATTCATACAAGTAATAGTTCGTTAAATAATCTTGATTGTAACTCCTTTCTCTAGAA